GGGAGTGAGCGAGCGGCTGCGTGGTATTTGGCTGCCTGCCAGGTTAAACCACGACACACCTGCATCTCCCCTGGCTTTGGGCACCACCTGTGTGCAGGGTGCCTGGGGTTGCTACGGTCCAAAGCCACGGTCTCTGCAACTTTGCAACGACAGTGTCTTGCTCCTGTCAGCCAGGAAGGCTGCAGAAATGCTCTTGAGTCCAAAAGGACTCTCAGGGTGCAGTGGGTTGTTGCAGTCATGGGCTCTTTGTGAAGACAAGCTATTTTCTTTCCAAGAGCCCTGCTCACTTATTGCTGCTGTAGAGCAAAGATGCATCAGCCTGGCCAGAGGTGGAGAGTAAATGAGGCTGGATTGCATCCCAAAGGCCGCCCCTGGCAAAGGCTGCTGTACAAGTTGCCTGGAAATTTGCTCCTCCCAGGATTTCAGTACCTGTCTTTCATGTGATAGACAAAGTCCTCTTCAGCCCAGGTCCCAGCTGAGCCATCTGGAGGCTGGTAGCGCAAATCCAACTCAATGTAGATCTACAAACAGAAAACGAAACTGCCTGAGAGCCTGGCAGCCACAAAACAACTGCAGAAATGTCACGGAAAAGGGGAAGGGGAGCGTGGAAGAAAAAAAGAAGTGAGATGCTGGTGGAAAGAAGAGGGAGGAAGGAAGGAGATCACAACCCCACAAGAAGCCTATTTATACCAGACACTCCTTGTCTGCCTCCATCAACAAACTAGAGTTAACCAAACTCCCTCCCTTACAGCTTCCCAAACTCCAGGATTCACTGAATAAAAGTTGGCTCAAGTTTCCAAATCTAAAATATACCACGGAGAGGCCCCTGAGAGCCGTCTCAGGGCACTTTTGACAAGGAAAGTGGGGAGAGCCCTGCAGCAGAGCAAACTAACATTCGGGAGTTTGGAGCGGTGTCCCTGTGGGAGGTGCGAGACAGCTGGCAGAGCATCCCCAGGCATGACAGCTTGGTTTAAAACAGCACAGAAGCCACAAGCACACCCAGAGTCTGCATCACAAGAGACATCAACTTAGCGTTAGTGATGAAGGACAGCCAGAGAAGCATGGGGCACTTTGGGTATCGACACAGCCAGCACAGGTCTGAAAACACTTCGTCTGCAAGTGACCGGCCTGATCTCAAAACAACACAAATGCACAAGAATTTCCCAGCGGAGGCCAAAATCGCAGGCATGGAGGAGGTCACCTCTCAGTAGGCTGAAGGGGATGTACAAGCTTGGTTCATAGCTCAGTCCCTGGAAAACACATTTGTGGGAGGAGAAATACAGCCCAAGAAAGTAGTACACTGGCCGGGAAAGGCAGCAGCAAGGCTGCATGGATGCAGAAGCCTGAGATAAAGCTGGGGGAATTGCCGAGGCTCTGAAAAAAAACCCCTTCAAACCAGCAGGAGAAAAAAAGGGTGCAAATAACTCAAGTCCCAGAGAAGAACTGGACTTGGAATAGCAGGAAGAGTTTTGTTCCCACTTTGCTAAAGGAGCAGCAGTTGAAACAGCCTCTTTCCTTTGGGGATGTGCCTCTTCCCAGCTGAGCTGAGGGAGAGGGTCTCAGGCTGCTCTTGGAGGGCTGCACAATCAAAAACTGACCTGGCAAAACCAAATGCGGTTTTTGTTCATCAGCATGAATTAGCACAATGGAAGAGGCAGCCAAGGGCAAAGGGTTGGGCTTCAGAGCAGCTCTGACCCCTAGCTCAGTCCCCTCAAACCATTGCCAGCATGGAGTGCTGCCAAAGGGTCGGTCCAGTCCCTGTCCCTTTGCTGGCATGAACGTTTACACAGTGAGCTGCATCAGGCTAAAAATCATCCTGGAAATGCTCCGTTTCCACCTGGACCTGCTCCCTGATCCAGCCAGCTCAGCAACACAGGAATGCTGTGCCTGTGCCACTCAGGCTCGTGGTCTGGTGGCCACAGAGCTGCATCCCAAGTGCCACCACAGGAGTGAGTCAGGTTGCCCGTGGGAAGGGCAAATAAGGGCACAGCACATCGCAGGGCTGTCTGCCTCCACCTCTCCTCCTCCCGGCCCTGCCCGCAGCCCTGGCACCGAACCCTGATTGTCCAGCACTCGCTGAATCATGCCTGCACTCCCAGCTGGCAGGAAACAGTTCACTTCTGGGTCACATTCATTTTCCACCAGCACAAAGGGCCCAGCGAGCCCTGGGAGGGAAGTGGGACCCACGGCGCAGAGCAGATGGGCAGGCAGGTATCAGAGCAGCTCATGCTGCCCAGGACCATTGTTAAGCCATCCAGTTAGCACGGGTGTTTAACCTAAAAGCTCACCGGGGAACCCAAGGCACCCTGCCTCCTTCAGCCTCACCCCATCAGCTCCTCTCTGCTTCGCACCCTGCAGCAGCCCACGCCCATATGATGCATGGTGCTGGAAGCAGATTAAATACCACCTCCTACATCCATCGCCCAGACCTGGGGACGTTTTACTAAGCCTCTCACTGCTCATTCAGGTCCTCGGAGGTCTCCAGGGCCCCCACAGCCCACCCCATGCACTTCTGAATTCTCCTAGAACTTGATGGGTGTGAAGTGGCTGCACCCCTGCACAGGGAGGGCACAAACGCCACAGCGCTCTCAGGCTCAAAGCAGCACCTTGGACTCCCACTCAGCCCCAAATCCACCTGGGAAGCACCACACAAGGTTTCCCACAAAGCCTTCCTGATTGCTGATGGCCAGGCTGCCCATGGAGGACTTACACCGGTGACTCTGTGGTTTCTGTCGACGAGGGCCTCCCGGAGGATCAGCCTCCCAGATGTCATCAGGTGCTGAAGGCTGAGGACAAGGGTACCGAGAAGCCTGGAACAAAACCAGAGGCTACAGCAACAC